TATATATATATATTATAATGTTATAAGAAGGAACCACTTGCGAGTTTTGTTCCCTTGGCAGAAATACATGATGTCAATTGCAAAGTAAAGAATTTTTGGGACGACAATACATATGGACATTGAGCAACTTATATATGATCTTTCCAAAGGCTATCGCATGGCAAATAAAAGGATTTGGTAACACGTTTAGCGGAGGGGATGCCAGACTTGTGAATTTGGAATAAAAATACTTCATGCAAATATTCAACAAAATGACGTACAAATGGTTGAATGGAAAGTAGAATGGATAAGAGTTTAAACATTGGAATTGGATTTGGAAACTTGTACTAGCAAATATACAATTTTTTATTTGGCAGCTTTGTAACTATGCCATACCAGTAAGAGATATATTAGTAAGAAGAGGTATTATTATAACTTCTTTTTGCCCGAGATGTGTAGATACTATGGAAACAATCGAGTTGTCTCTGCTCTAAATTGGTCTAGAGAACCTTTAGATTGACCCTTCATAGGAACAATTTTCGAAAGGTAATTGGCATGGGTGGTTGAAAAATCTAGTCAAAACTCATGGGTTGTTATGCACCTTGATCATGTGGTTCATATGGTATGGTAGAAATCAACTTATCTTTGAGACTAAAGAGGTAGATGCAGGTTTTATTGATGCCAAGGTGCAAACAATGTTGCACCATTATGTTGTAGCCTTCCATAAAGACCTAAGGATTACAAGAAATAACCTAATTTTAGTGTCATGGCTGCTCCCACCTCATGACACAATGGCTCTTAATGTGGATGACAACGTGTTGGGAAATCTTTCTATAGCAAATTACAATGGTCTTTGTCGTAACAACCATGGAGAGTTTCTCTTTGGTTTCCATGGTAATGGTGATTGAACTCCAATTATGCATGTAGAGATACTTGCTTTACTACATAATATTTGATTATGTTGGGATCGAGGGTTTAGCAAAGTTATTTGCTATATAAATTCATCAAATGTTTCTAGTCTTATACATGGTGAAATGTTGTTTTATCATATAGTTGAAAACGAGGTCATGAAAGTTCATCACTTTCTAGAAAGAAATTAGATTTATAAGTTGTAAGATACATTATAAGAAGGTAATTAATGTGTGGATGTCTTAGCTAAGACAAAGTGTATGTTTGTTTTGTTGTTAAAATTTTGCAAATTTATAATTGAGCGAAAAAGATATAAAAACTTGTTTTGTATTGTGATACTTTTGAAAGAGTGATTTCACGTTTACATTAAAAGAATGGATTTTCAAACATGCTAAAAGACAATAGGGGATAGATACATGGTGATCATGCAAAAATCACAAATGTACATTGAATATTCGTCTCTAACTAATTTGTGGATAGTTAATTACTAATAAGAATAGTTTAAGTTTGTTTATTTCCCATTCTCTCATATGTACAAAAAAATAATTTTCTAATTTTTAAGAAATATATTTGATTTATTTTTAAAATTCATTTTTCTAAAATTATTTTTTGTATTTTTTAATTTTAAATAAACTAACCCTAAAAGGATTTTCAAACATGGGCCCTAAGAGACCGGGCCAGGCCCAAGTTCCACAAAACCACGAGTACTCTGACCGTACATAAGAGAGAAAGAACAAGAAGAGAGGGTTAAGACGAAAAAAACTTGAAATACCTCAAGAAAAGAACTACTGAAACAAAGAAACACAGAAAGAGTGAAAAAAAAAGGGTTTACAAGTAGTGAAGTGATTAATGGCTACAGAGGAAGAGAGCGCCGTGAAGGAGCCTTTGGATCTCATTAGGTTGAGCCTCGACGAACGTATCTACGTCAAACTCCGTTCTGACAGAGAGCTTCGTGGCAAACTTCACGTAATTCTTCAATTTTTTTCCCCCCATTTTGGTGGTTTTCTCTGTAGTCTTCAGCTTTTGCACTCTTTTTGTGACTACCCATTAACGCATAGGGTGTTTGGGTGTTCTGTGATGGAAAATTTAGAGTCTTTAAGTTGTTTTGGAGGTAATTGAAATCTGGGTTCCTTGCTATGGTTGGCAAGTTTGTACCTTTCTCACTGTTTTAATGATATAAGAATAATGAGTTATTTTACATGCCTGTGGGGGTTGAAATGAATCTCTAGTTCTGAATTTTGGTTTTTGGAAGGGATTCTGAATGAAAATTTGAGTGTTTTTGAAATATTGTTTAAAATAATTAGGTTTGGGATGAGGAATGATAATGTGGGTTGTTAGTTTCTAAGATTTGTTTCATTGTTAGTACTTAGTAGGCTAAGAAGTTTTTGTGCTGGTAGTTGAAGATTGAATTAATGTAATATGAACTCTTTAGGGTTTCTAAGTTGTTTTATGCTGCAAGGAATTTCACTGGTTATTTGAGAGTAACGAATTGAAATAATTTTGTGTTCTGTAAAGGTCTTTTTAGAGCTGTAACTTGGACAATGTTTTGGTGCATTTTGTGTGACAGGAGTGTATTTTTATACATTTGTTTATTTCTTGAATTTCTATAAGATTGTCACGAGCTTGTAATTTAATTTACTGAAGGGCTCCTATTTGAAAATAACCCGAGTTTATAATGGTTTTTTCAAACTACACATCATTGTCAGTTGCCTATCTTGTTCATTTGATAGAAGTATAACTACGATAAATATATTAACTACATAGGTTTAAGATTTCTATTTGTTATGAAAATGGATATCATTTATGAGGTAAACTTTCGGCATGAAACCTGAAAACCAAGGATGCATAGGTTTATGATGTGCTTAATAATTTCAGTCAAATAATCTGCTTCACTTTGTCAAATTGCTGAACTGGAACTCTGGATGCAACCTCTATATAACTAAGTTGCTTGTCTGACTTGCAACTGGCTAACAACTACTATGTCTAATTCTAACTAAGCTAACTAATGGCATAATTTACTTAATTTTTTGCATTACTTAAACTATAAAACTTTTTTAACTTTTAAACTTTCAGATCTGGACTCTAATGGTTTTGTTGCTTCTACCATCTTCTGGGCAAAGTGTAAAATCACCTGTGTGCAAAGTGTAAAATTACCTGATAGATCAAACATGTCTAAACATTGTTCTTAAGTTAAATAAGACATGAATTTGAGGTCTTTAAGTTGGTATTTATTTTTAAAAAAAGGTATTTGATCTGATCAGTGGGTGCAGTATATCCTTCCCCTGAGATTTGTTAAAGGATTCATATTTAGTACACAGCCAAGGCTTGTCTTATTACACGGGAAAGAAGTGTCCTTCTTTCTCCTCAAATACTTATCTGCTACATAACCAATAATTTGTTGTCATAACTAGGGATAATGCTGTCTATTTGATGTAATTCTATTGTGATATTACTATTACTCTTGGAAATAAACTTCTATTTCAAATGAAAATGGTAATATATAGAAAATATGCATCTTGTATATAGGATGCATAAGTAAAATTTTGTAAGGGGAAGAAATCTTTTACAATTTTTTTATCTGCTTTATTTCATTTCCTTTTTCTTCCCTTCTAGTAAATGGGCCCTTGGTGATTATTTTGATCTTTAAAATTTTGTTGGCTTGATATGCATTTTCCTTTTTCTCATTTTTGTACTGAGTTTTCAAACTTGAATTTGCAGGCTTATGATCAGCATCTTAATATGATTCTTGGTGATGTTGAAGAAATCGTTACTACTGTGGAAATTGATGATGAGACATATGAAGAAATTGTGAGGGTAAGTTGTAACAGCAAAAAGGAGAAATACGCGCGCGCATATACACACACACACACACATATATATATATATATATATATATATATTATTTTATTTATATTCCTTTTTGGCAGCTAAATGGAAAAAATGTTAATAATTGCTGGAGAATTTGAATAATTTTGGATTATTCATATGTTGATAAGCATTGTTGAGGGACAGCATCCATGATTACCTCTTTCTGTTTAGGAAGAGATGATTATAGAGTATGACTTACCCAGTTAAGTAGAAACATTGTATGAATGAAGAGCGTATAACTTATATGTAAATACCATTTGAAAAGAACTATGGCTAATTCAGTGAGAATGTGTAGTAAAGCTAGACACTTCAGGGTGTTTTTAAATGAGACTACAATTCTATCTAGATACAAGCTTAGAAAAGCTTTTCTACTGAAAATACAAAGTTTTTTTTTTTCCAATAGAGAAACTCTTCTAAACTTGTACCAAACATACTCTATAGGCCTTTTTAATTCTCCCACTATTAGCCTTATTATTTTAGAACTTGGATGCCAAGTGCAAACAAATGTGTGAAAATAAAAAAATGCCAGACAACAAAGGGAGGGGACCTTTTGAATTTTGTTCAGACATAGGGAATGCCAAATGCATATTTACAATCTTCGATCTGCATCAACCTTTGAATTGCTCTAATCTAACAAATGCATGCTGCATTGATTTTGAGGATATATTTCCTTGGATGATCGTTTTGTTTTCCTTTTGATTGCAGACTACCAAGCGGACAGTTCCTTTCCTGTTTGTCAGGGGAGATGGGGTGATATTGGTTTCCCCACCACTGAGGACTGCCTAACATGGACCAATGAACTATGTGATCTTTTTAATAACATGTGTCACTGTTTATGAAATTGTATAACATAAGTAGTGATCTAATTTCTTATGGTTAGATTAGTTACTTAATTGGCCTTTGTGTGTTGACAGTCAGTTTTCATTTATGTTTATAGCATGAGAGAATCATGGCAATGGCATGCACATAAACAAGGATTTTGGCTGTAGTTTGGAGCTGACGTTATATATCAGTGGCTCCATAAAGTAGACCATCATTTCCTGATTTGATGTCTCTCCTTCATGTTTTTATTTACTTTTAGTTCCAATAGAAGATATGTGAACTGGAATGATATTTGATGTTGGGTGTATTTTCATTTGACATATGAAGCTTGCATTAGATACAGTTTTTAAAGTCCTGTGATAATTTTTTGTTTTGGAGTTTCCTCTAAAGTAATGGAAAGTGACGAGTTATAATCCTGTTGATTGAAAAATCAAAACAGTTAATATTGTGATTAAATATATAATATGCGTAACAATTTAGTGAGATTACTACCTATTTATTTATTATTTTTTGTTTTAAATACCTAATTATTTTTTTTTCAATTTAGTACTCGATGTTAGTCCCTCTCTCTCAAGTGATGACGTAGCTGGCAAATTATCATGTCATCACCAATAATGTCTGTAACGTCATTTAAATGTCCACGTGGCAGTTTTTTAGATGACATAAATTATACTGAATGAAAGGAGTGTATGTGAATATTCAAATAATCCGTTGATTTCAAACTTTGGTTTGTCATAAAAAATAGATAATTTTTTTTAACAAAGATAGTGGACAATGAAGAAGTGGAGAAAAGTGAAGATTAATAATGAAGTGGAGAAAAGTGGAGATTAATACGATGAAGACATGAAGCACTTGTAACTAGAAGCAAAAATAATAAATGTTTTATATTGTACCATGAATTAAGATACTTTCGAAAAAAATTTTAAGTGCAGCTTAAATATACTCAAACTACTTTCAAGTAGGTTGATTTTCAAATTATTATCTCTAATTAGGTCGATTTTCAGATTATTACTTATTAATTTATTATTTTTTATTTTAAATACTTGACTAATTTTTTTTCTTCTAATTTAGTATTTGAAGTTAGTCTCCCTCTATCAAATGATGACGTGGTTGGCGAATTGTCACATCATCACTCAATAGTGTCTTCCACATCATCTAAATGCTCATGTGGTAGTCCTTTAGATGACGTGGCAAACACTTTTGGGAGATGACCTGACAGTCTGTCAGTCACGTCATCACTTAACAGAGGAGGATTAACGTCAAGTACTAAATTAAAAAAAATTTTAGTTAAGTAATTAAAACAAAAAAAAATTAATAAGTAGTAATTTAAAAACTAGCTTAATTGGAAGTAGTTTGAACATATTTAAACTTTTTTTATATATAAATTTTTTGTTTAAACTAGGTGTAATTTCTGACTTTCCAGTCAATGAAGGAAATTTGACCCTTTTATTATTGTTTATTTAAAACCTTACATTTTCGTGTTTTTACTCAATATTTTTACAAGTTAAATTGGTAAGAGTGTTTTAATTTTTTAATTCAAAAATTACCTATCAAAACATTAAAATTTACTCAAAATAATATCAACTTTCTCTTCAATCGATCTTAATCTTACATTTTATAAAATGATTTATTTTAAGAAAAAGGGGCATGGATCAACAAGAATTAATTAAACTCGTGTGAGAAGGAATAACTTACATCCCAATAAAAGGAAGAATAAAATCATAAACTCTCAAATTTTTATTAAGAAAGTTTTCATGATTAGTAAACATATCTACAGCTTTATTTGTCTTTCGTAGCACAAGACAATATTAAAATCGAGATTTTATTTAGAATTGGAAAGGGATAAATCATCGTAACTTAGATCGTAAGATCCTACATTCCTACTTAAAATTCTTATATGCAACACATATAGATAGAAAACTACATAGATAAACAATATTAAACAACTTTATAGTTATAATAAGTCATTAAAAATATAATATCCAAATTTGAAATAGGAAAAAATATAAAAAAGAAGTTAAACAACTCCTAATAGAAATTAGAAAGTTCATAAGTCATAAGACTTAATAACTAAAAACATAACACATCATAAATTCATATGAAATCTTGCATTCTAGTCATTTAGGAGAGCATAAATTTCTTCTTGATAACCATCATCTATGTTATCTTCATTCTCATTAATGGCATTAACATCTCCTACCACTCCAACTCCAATTAATTCATCCTCTTCAATAGGAGGAACATCCAAATGGTCCACAAGTGCACCACCATCGCCACCACCACTAGTTCCAACATCTTGTCCAACTTCAAGTATGTCTTTATTCAAAAAAATTCAAATATGAAATTTGATCATTTTCTTCCATAATCCAATCATCATCAGAAGAAAGGTCTTCATTACAATAGTTCTTTTCCTTCCTAACTTGCTTCTTATTCAATTTGGAATTAGCCATGTCATAAACTACATCATTCATGGTCTTTTGCAACAAATGATTCCTTTTCTTGGTATGGGCCTAAATGAAAAATCAATTATCATATAATAGGAAGAAGGAAATAAAATACGTTATACATATACGAATATACCATTTTAAATTAGAATTTTTACATTTTCAAAGACACTGCAGTTGCACTCACAGCCAGATGAACTACATGCCAAACTCAAAACCTGAATTGTAAATTGTTACAATTTTAGATGTTTATCTCCATAAGATTCCCACTAATCTGTCGGACTTTTGGTATCACATTGAGTTATATGACCAAAAAGGTCTTTTTTTTTTCTTGAAATCCTCAAGTTAGTCATCAATTTTTCCTGTTATTTTAAAGTCTCCAACAATCTTTTCCATGCAATTGATGAATCCTTTCTTAACTTCTCAATCAACCTTAAAATTAGGAGCATAATGCAGTATGGGGTTAAGGTAGTAGCCTGTAGCATGCAAAGGCTTATGTAATTGTTTTTCCTATCTTTGATCAATAATTTCCCATAAAGGAATGTAGCTACAATTGAAGAAAAAAAATAGTTTTCAACCAAAGTCTATAATTTATAAAATGAAGCACACAGAAGATAATTACCTGCTTTCATCTCCTCTAAAAGCATATTGTATCTTTTCTTTAGCTTGGTCCATTTCTTCATAAATGAACACCATGGTTGGCCTTTCATCTAAATCCACCAAGCGCAACACTTTAACTAAGGCAAAAACGCCTCTCATACAATTCATAACATTTTTCCAAAATCCCTTATCTGTAACCAAATTCTCCATAAAATTTCCATCCTTGGTCTTTGCTAATTGACTAGAAGTCCATTCTTCAGATGTAAACATTCTAGTTAACTAACCCTTATAATCATTCAAAATGAGTCAAGTTAGGTTTAATCAAGTTAGGTTTAATCAAGTCACCTCGTCAGTAAATTTATGCAATAAAGCAATAAAACTTGTTCTATAATAGATGTATGATGTGATCCTTCTACCACTTGCAATTGTTTCATTATGAAGTGTTAAGTCAGACGAAGCAATTCCCAACAAAGTTTTGAATGAGACAAATATAATACATATTTTTATATCTAACATGTGTGTGTTAGTGTTTCAGAAATATTTAAGTACAGAAAAATTATACTAGAACCAAGATCAAGGAAGGAAAGCTTCAAGCATCAGACAAAAAGGCCAAACGAAGCCAAGTCTAGTACAAGAAGGAAATGAGCAAGCCTCAAACGAAGCACATTCAAGAACGAGAAGAAGTCCATACAGACCACAAACGAAGCTTCTTCAAATACGAAACGAAGATGAGTCAAGGCAAAGCATAACATGAGGATCAGACGAAGCAAAGTCAAGTGATAGATGAAATAAGACATGAGCACCAGACGATAACGGATCAAATATCAGACGTAGGTGTGTCAAGCACAACCTAAAGCGCAACATAAGGACTCAGATGAAGGCTGGTCAAGAATCAAACAAAAGTCAACTACATATTAGATGAAGGATAGCAAAGACTGAATAGCATTCCAGATGAAAATGAAGTCTGTCTATCTACAATGTTGACCAAACCAAAGGAAGTCAAAGCATTAATGACAAATGCTCAGACAAAGATCAAGTCTTGAGATGCACATGGCCTCCCAGACGCAGACGAAGACTCCCATGCAAGCATTTGAAGAATCAAGTCTCAAGGGACAATTCAGGCATCTTCTACAATCATACAAGAGCTCTCAATATGATCGCTTGATGAAGGAAAAGAAAAAGAAAGAAGAAAGATAGACAAGCGCGTATCCACAAGTTAAAGCATGCGTGTGTCAGAAAAAGTACATCACTTTTTCAGATAAAGGAAACGCCCCTATAGCTACGATGACCAAAAAAAGACAAGAAATTCCTAGGTCACAATTAAAGTTAGACACTGTAGCTAACAAAATGTAAAACACTTCATGCAATGTCTATAAACAGGAAGCAACATTTAATGTAAGATCTAATGCATTAAATGAAAGATCAAACTAGTCATGAACGACTACATTCTACTTCAACGGACACTTGTAATGGACAAATTTTACAAAGACTATATATATGTCATGACTTCAAACCTAGAAAGGTTGGCGAAGAGAGTGATTCCAAGCCCAAGAAGCAACGAAACCAGAGACAGAGCAAACATAGTCAAATGTACAATATTGTAGTGTATTTATCTTTGTAGATTAAGGAGTTCTAAGTGTAACTTAGGAACATAAACCTTAGTGAGTGTAGTAAATCTTTGTATCCTCTTTGTGAGAGTAAACCACACACTCAAAACAATTTATTTATCATCTGTAAAGCCTAAAAAGCCTGAAGAGGCTAGGGAAAGAATACTTGTATAAGCCTAGAGAGGCTTGTCAAAGAATCCTCACTGAGTGCCTGAAAAGGCTGAACAAAGAATACTAGCGCTACTAAGTGAGGTTAGCGGGATAGAAGTGGTCAATAATCCTCATTGAGAGCCTGAAGAGGCTGAACAAAGAATACTAGCGTTAATAAGTGAAGTTAGCAAACCAAGAGTGGTTGATAATACTCGGGGACCAGGAGTGGTCGAGAATACTCACTAAGAGCCTGAAAAGGCTAAACAAAAAATACTAGCGTCAATGAGTGAAGTTGGCCAACTAGGAGGGGTTGATAATACTCAAGAACTAGGAGTGGTTGAGAATACTCACTGAAAGCCTGAAGAGGCTGAACAAAGAATACTAACACTGACAAGTGAAGTTAGCGGGCCAGAAGTGGTCGACAATACTTGGCAAACAAGAAGTGGTGATAATACTTGTATTTAATTGAAAATCTAGTGGAACCCTTCAATTGAAAGAGACTAGACGTAGCTCAGTTTGAGAAAACTAGTATAAAAATCTTTGCACTGCTTATCTATGTTCAAACACAATTTTGTTTAGTTAATATATCATACTGAAAATTTCGTCCATTGCTTATTATTCACTGTAACTCTCTTCAGACGAAAAATACACTTTCTTAACTTATTATTTTTAAGAAACATTTTTCTTGTGCAGACGGTAAACTCTCAGACGCAAAATATTTTGTTGAGTCAATCCTGCACAGTTTGAAGTATTCAAAATAATATTTTTATTGGACGAAAAAGAGTCTCTCTACGAAAATAATTTTAAAATTCCTTCGATCACACAAACACATATTCAACCCCCCTTCTATGTGTTTTTCCTCTAACTTCATGAAGTGGTATCTTTTTCTCAAAATCCTCAAGCATTAAGTCAATGCAATGAGTTGCACAAGTTGTCCAATACAACTTAGTCCTTTTTTTCATCAACATTTCCCCAGTTGCCTTGTAATTTGTTGTATTGTTTGTGACAATATGGACAACATTTTCTTCCCCAACCTTTTCAACTACATCATCTAACATCTTGAAATTTTTTTCAGCTGTCTTGTATATCTTGGATGCATTAATAAAATGTTAAGTCAGGCGAAGCAATTCTCAACAAGGTTTTGAACATGACAAATATAATACATATTGTTATTACTAACATGTGCGTTAGTATTTCAGATAAATATAAGAATAGGCAGAATTGAAAAATGAAGTATGTGTCATTACATATACTATGGTCAAACCAAACAAAGCATGGTTGAGCTGTACAAAACATCAGACGAATTGATCAAGCATCAAGACTAAGCCTGACAAAAGCCAAACAAAAATACAACAAATATAAGACAAGGCGCACTACCAATCAAAAGTCAACAAAAGTATCAGACGATGGATAATATAAGACGAAGAAACGTTCCAGATGGAATTAAAGTATTCCATCCTCACAACTAACCAGACGAAAGGAAGAGTCAAAACAGACGAAAGGAAAAGTCAAAGTCTACCTCTCAAACGGAGGCTCAAATTCTAGACGCAGACGAAGAATATTGAAAAATGTCTGAAGTCTTCTATTCACAACGAGAGATATCATATATCGTCTACACTCATAAGAAGAGCACACGAAGTCACCAATATTGTGAAAAGAAAGAAGAAAAATAGGTAAGCGTGAATCCACAAGTCAAAGCTGCGTGAGTCAGAACAAGTACACCTACTTTTCAAAAAACGACAACGCCTCTGCAGCAACAATGACAAGGAAAGAACAGATATACCTAGGTTATGATTGAAGTCATACATAAAAGTGAACAAAACTACACACAAGACTTCGCGTAACACAGATTCGACATGCAAACATTTAATGCAAGATTAAATACATTAAATGAAAGATCTATATATATTTATGAACGAACTACTATCTGCACCAACGGGAAGCTTCGCTCCAACAAACACTTTCAAATTCAAACAACGGGTAGATTTACCACGAAGCTATAAATATCAAGACCAAACAAGAGAAGAAGTAGAGAAGTGAAGCAACAAGCAATAAGCAAAAGTGAATGTTAAATCTCTTCCTGTACAGTCTTGTATATCTGTGTAGATCTAAGATAGCTTATCTTAGTGAGTGTTGAAATTATCCTATCCTTTCCGCGAAAGTAACACACACTCAGAATACACATCTTTGTAAAACTAAGGTTGAATACCTTAAGCGAGTGTAGAAATTATCCCATCCTTTCTATGAAAGTTATACACTCACTCAAATCATTCATCTATTGTAAAGCTTGGAGAGACTATTTGAAAAAAATACTTGGAGAGCTAGGAGTGGTTGAGAATACTTGGTGAACCAGAAGTGGTTTAAGAATGCTATCATCAACAAGTGAAGTTGATGAACTAGAAGTGGTTGATAATACTTATAATCCGTTGTGATTAGGGGAACCCTTCAGTTGAACGAGACTGGACGCAGCTTAGGTCGAGCGAACTAGTATAAAACTCTTTGCACTCTATCTATTTTCAGAAGCAATTTTATTTAACTGTTATATCATACTAAAAACTTCGTACACTAATTATTTTTCTCTACAACTATCTTCAGACGAAAAATATACTTGCATAACTTATTATCTTAAAGAATATTTTCCTTTTAAGAAATATTTTCCTTGTGCAGATAATAAACCTTCAGACGGAAAATCTTTTGTTGAGCTAACCTTGCACAGTTTTCAAGTGTTCAAGATGATATTGTTTTTATACGGAAAAAAGTTTCTTTGTGAAAACGGTTTTAAAATTCCTTCGTTCTTGCACACGCACATTCAACCCCCCTTCTATGTGTTTTTCCGCTAACTTCATAAACTTCAAAAAAATTGTTCCAAATAAACTATTTACTAAAAAATTTAATATAGTCTTCATCCTCCTATTAGTCTAACCATTTGTCATTATTGTTTATCCAAATTTCTTCTAATAAGTTTTATGGTCATCTAAAGAAATATTGGTCATTTTAACATGATACTTTAAGTATTTCACCCTAATCTCATGGTAGAATGGTGGGTCAAATCCTGGACCGTGTTGAGCAACTGATTCAAATATTTTCTTATATGTTTCACTGTTGGATGCATTAAAAGGGTAACATTCAAATATAAAAAAAATATAGCAATGTCCTGACATGCTTCCTCCCTCAAATCCTTTTTAAAGATCTTGTTGATTGTCATTTGAGAGTTAACTTTTCTCTTGAAATAATTTTGACTACCAATATCACCACCTTTTGATTGAGTAGCAAAACTATTACCTATTCCTTCAATGTCACCAGATTTTTTTAAGAGGTTTTGTTGTAATGATGAAACAATACCCAACAATTGTTTCTTAACATCTTCAGGAACCGATCTACATGCTTCAACATCTTTGGATGTTCTTTCCAAATGATGTTTCAAATGATAAACCCCTCTTGTGAATGTCTTTTCACAAAATTTGCACTTGACTTTTCTTGCATCCCATCAATAGAAACACAATATTTTCATGTCACATCACTTTTCATTCTAGTAGCTTTTTTATGTCATTTTTGTGGTGGTTCACTTCCTTTAGTTCTTTCTCTTGATGCCATTTTTTCTTCAATAATTTTAAAACAAACACTAATAAGATAAGAAATTAAATGAGAAAAAAAATTAGTGAAGGAAGGAAAGAAACTAAAACGAAGAATTAATTGAATTAACATAAAAAAGAATGGTTGAATTACTCAATTTTATTGATATTGCATTTAAAAGAATTGATATGTTTCATTGTTTTTAAAAATTGTTAAAAAAATATACCAAAACAATTATATATTGCTTCAAAAGCAATACATTAATACTTTAAAAGAAAAAGTAATCATTAGTAGAATTAAAATAAAAATGATTGAATTGCTTATATTGAGATTGAATTTTAAAAAATTAACGTAATTCACTATTTTTAAAAATTGTTAAAGACTTATATTAAAAAAATTGTATAATACTTATATAAGCAAAGAAAAAATAATAATGCCTCAAAAGTAATACACTAATACTTCAAAAGAAAAAGTCACGATTCATAAAATTAATATTAAAAAATGAAAAAAAAACTGGTTGGATTACTATATCTATTTAGAATTAAATTTTTAAAAAATTAACATATTTCAATATTTTATAAAATTCTTAAAAAAATTATATAATACTTAATTAAATAAAGAAAAAATAATAATGTTTCAAAAGTAATACGTTCGGAAAAGAAAATTTATTGATTCATAAATCTTAAATTTAATATATTTATAAAGAAAAAAGTTAAAGAAAAAAATTATATAAATAAGAAAATAAAAAATAAATTATTAAAGGTGGAGACATTCATATTTTTTTTATAAATATTTTGAAACATAAAAGTTAAAAAAAAAAAAAGGAAACATAATATGTTTGAAACAAGGTTAAAAAAAAAAAAAAAAAAAAAAAAAAAAAAAAA